TCAGTGTCACTCTCTTATCAACTAAGTGCAGCTGTGAAAAAAATGTAATTGATAAAAGTTCTTTTCATGCCAGAATAAAATTTGTTTGGCAGAAAGTCAACATTATTAATTCCCATGGATTATACTGACTATATGCAGTCATTTCAACTGGGATTGTGATTCTGTCAGACCTCATGAGCTAAGCAGTATTGGATGGGAGACCTCCAGGTATAACTCACATCTAAAAAGTAGTGTTGGAAATTCTCTCAGCAGCCCCTTTTGCTGTGAGTCAGTGCTGAACCTGTGCCTCGGTGTGGCATTATGATGGGCCACTGCATTGCTGTAGGTGCTGCATTTTTGGATGAGACACAAGACAAGGTGCTGACCTATTGTGCTCATTAAAGATCCCTTGGCATTTCTGATAAGAATAGGGATGTTAATCCCATTAACGAGCTTCCTGGCCAGATTCCAGGTGGATAATTACAGTACAGTCTGCCTGCCTCATTCCCCTGCAGTCTTAGTTAGAGATCATATTCTTCTTCACTTCCTGTCTTTTAAAAAACATGCTACCTAGTGTTACTGTGTTCTGTTAGCACGTGAGTAGTCACAAACAGCTACTGTGTTCTGTCGCAAAGATGGAGGCATTTCAGTACTGGCTGAAGTCATTTTGTGTGTGTGTGTGTGTGTGTGTGTGTGTGTGTGTGTGTACATACAGCAGAACTTAGACAATATTAAGTGCTTTGGGGTTCTCTTGAGATGAAAGGCTCCCTATATAAAGCATATGTAAAATATTATTGCATAAACATATTCACTTTTCGGAAACAATTTATTCCTCTTTGCTGTAAAAACCCCAAGAGTTTTATATGTAGTCACTAGATAACACCATCTTTACAGTATTTATTCTTTCGGCCTCTCTTTGCTCTTTTCTCTTCTTTCCCTCCCCACCTCCCTTTTGGAACCACAAGCACAAATCCTGTCATAGATACTCATCTTCAATGACTACCAGAGGAAGCGACCCTTGACTATGACAGGATAAGTGAATCGTGTTTGACAGTTCTTACATGCTTCTGCCAACTACCAACCTCTGTTCCTTCAAACGCAAAAACATGTTAATGAGCATACAGACATGTCAAGTGAAAAGCCAACGGTGTGTGCAGGGAGAGTCTGGCCCAGGTCCACAAAAGGGCATTAGGTGCCGAAGTCCAATATTTAGGTGCCATCAAGATCAATCCCCTGCTCAGCTGCCGCCTTACCATGGAGGCGCCTAAAATCCATCAGTGCCTAAATACCATTAAAGTCCCCTAGCCACCTAAGTTTCTGCGTGTTGGCATGTGCACAACACGAAGTCTAGGTGCCTGGACACCTATCTCATGCCTCAGCTCCAGCATGATCCTCACACCATATTAATGTAGGCATTGCCCCAAGTTTCCCACCTCTCAGATGATTGCCCCAACCACTGGACTATAGAGTCATTCTCTCTCTTTGTCTGGCCCAGTGACTATTTAATTATATATGCACAGATGAACAGCTTCAACAGCAGCACTTGAGGGAGCCCCACATGGGAACATTCCCTAGCATGGTGGGTAAGTCACTCATCTGAGATGTGGCCATTCCCTATTCATATCCGCTCTCATCAGGCAGAGGGGGGAATCGGACCCATATCCCAGGTGAGTTCCCTAATCACTGGGCTAAAGGTTATAAGGGGGAAGTCATCGTCCTCCCTCGGCTGATCTGTGTAGATTTAGGTGTCTACTGCTGCCATCTTACAAGAAACTGCTTTGGTGCCTGACCCCAGGAGAGGGATCCCAGCCCTGGATTGTGAGTGGATATAGGTGCCTAACTACCTGGGGGAGGGGGGGCTTAGAACACATCTGCTCCTCGGCATCTGCTATTGGCGAGCTCAGGCAGCTCCCCACCTAGCGTGCTGGCTTTTATGGATCTCATTCTCCCTCTCCCCGTGCATTGTATAGGGAGTCTGGGAGCCTAACTTGAGGTTTGTGGATTCCACTAGGTGGCTGTGCAATCTAAACGTTAGGTGTTGTAAACTTTGTGGGCTTTGGGCCTCAGTTCATAGAAAGCTTTTCTTCATGCCTGAGGATTTCAGATTTATTTTGTATCAAATAGTACTAGAGTACACAAAAGTGAAATGAGAATTGTTGGACTTTGCTGTTTTAGGTCACTTCCAGTGCCCTAAATCTTAGATTCTCACCATTTGTTTTGTTGCAGGGTGGGGGTGGGTGAGAATACATTAACAAACTGCCTTCCTTTAATTCAAACCAAAATCTAGCTTCAATTTCTTTATCATCCCTTCTGATGAGAGACAATTGGAGTGCATGTTTACAAATCTGCTTAAGAATTGTCCTCATTCTACTATGCCTGCTTGTGTCAGGCACGTTCCATAACAGGATAGTTGCACAGAAAATGACATTAGCAGTTGAATCTGATATGTTTGCCAACATCTTTTTGAGGTCCTGCATTATTGTTTATGATGATAATGACATCTAGTCATTAAAGTCAAATTAGATTTCTGAGTGCAGTTTGTCTAGCCTGATTTTTCTGTTGCCAGCACACACTTTCCCTGTCCTCACCATCCATCACCTACACCTGTATAAACAGTTGTCATCACTGAAAGGACTTGTCTGGTTTTTTGCTAATTTTGTCAAGACGCTTCTTTAAATTGGCACAAAAAGAAACACTTGGGCTGCAAACTGGACTGATGTTGCCCAGCAACACAGATCTCTGCATTAAACAGTTTTTGACTTTGAGAGTTTCCTAACTTTGTAAGTACTGGAATGGATCCCTCTATATTGGAGATGCTGCTTTTTGGGATTGCATTAACAATACTATCAGCTTTTCTGGAAAGGTTTTATACTTAGGCCTGGTATACACCTAAACTTAGATCAACTTAGCTGCATTGTTCAGGGTTAAATTGATGGAAGAATTCTTCTGTTGACTTAGTTACTGCCTCTTGGGGAAGTGGATTACCTACATCGACGGAACAACCTCTTCTCTTGATGTAGGAAGGATCTGTACTACAGTGCTACTGCAGCACAGAAGCAGTGCTGTAGCTGGGCTGCTGTAGCGTAGACATACCCTTAGTACGTTAAATTTTAGCCTGGGATATGTCTATATGTCTCAAAGGCAAGAAGTGTAAATTTTGGTCTAAATGTTTGGGGAAACTAAATTAGGCAAGTGGAAAGATATATATTTATATCCACTTTAAGAGGTGTAGTTTTTGTTGTTAGCAAAATTCAAAACAACCTCCATACAAATTAAGCTATGGCAAGTAATTTCCCCTTGCTATGGTCTAATAATTTCATTTTAAAATTAAATTAGTCTGATTTAAAAATCAGAACGTGCTTGCTATTGGAAAGTGATCTGTGAACTGAAGTTATGCTCTCTGTCTGAAATGCACTTTTATTTAAACTGCCAAAAGGCAGATTTACATAAATGCCCTTTTGACTAAACACATCTTCACAGTGATTATTCAGACATTCTTGTTAGGAGCTTTCAGAGCTCTTCTAAATGGGTCACTATGGTCTGTCAGGTGTATAATGTATGAAAGTGTCTAAATATATACTGACTTCTTCTTAAAAGGTATTTTCAGAAGCAATAATTTATCAAAGTCTACCCATAGGCACCTCTACAGCACACTTTTCCACTCTAGCAAATAAAAACAACCAAGCAAGTCACCAGCCTGGAAATGTGGTGCACTTTTCATTTTCACTTTTAATCATTTATCAAGACAACACGAAGAATTAATGATAGAGTTTCAGCTTCAACTATGAATTTCTGTGCTTTTCATGAATATCAAGCCCTCAAATAACCTTTTCCATAAATTCTTATTTGTGAATATTGTCTCATAAATGGGACACCAGAGAGAAGTGAAGTCCTATTTTAAAATAAGTTTATTATTTAACTTGTTTAATAGGATATGATATCAGACATGTATGCTGCTTTTTGAGGATGAGGAGTTAAAAGTGACATGTTTTCTTTATCATTTGTTTAAGCTTGATTTGCACAATGCTCATATCACAAAATACATGTTGTGTGATAGGGTAGGTCCTAATCATCATTTCAAAGAGGAGACCTATGCAATATCATCTAAAGTCACCTTTTGCGTTCAACACTAAGGCTATGTCTATATTCAAACCACTGCACACTCACTCAGTACAATGATGGGAGGGGTTGTCCCATCACGGTATTTAATCTACCTCCCTGAGAGGCAGTAGCTAGGTTGATGGAAGGAAGAATTCTCTGTTGACCTAGTGCTGTCTACAGCAGGGGTTAGGTCGTCTTAACTACATTGCTCAGGGGCATGGATTTTTCACACCCCTGAGTGATGTAGCTTGGGTCCACCTAACTTTTTAGTGTAGATCTGGCCTAAACTGCTGTCACTCATTTCATTTATGCAAACTGAGTTTACAAATAATTACCCAAATTAGATTACATCTTCAGCTACGTCTACACTACAACCACTACCACAGCACAGGAATGGAAGTGGTTTTTTTTTTTCTCACTGTAGTAAATTCACCCCTTGAGAGGCAGGAGCTAGGCTGACAGAAGAATTCTTCCATCAACCTAGGGTTGTCTATACCCAGTCTTAGGTCAGCTTAAATATGTCTCTCAGGGGTATGTGAGATTTTTTTTTTCACACCCCCTGAGAAACGTAGTTAGGTTGAGCTAAGTTTTAGTTGTAGTTTTAGGCCTTGGTTTAGACTGGTCCAAGCATTCCGAGAGAAGTATGAGCAGTAGTCCAATTCCTTTAGGTTCTCCTTAATTCTGAAGCCTAGCCAAGCGAGGTTCATTACTGTTACAGTGACATTCAAGAAAGCAAGATGAAGCTGTCCTGGGGAGGCGCTGCACTGAAAGTCTTAATGGGATGAAGGGCAATTCCTTTTATGTAGTATTTGTATGTTGGCTGTTCTTCACTATTGCAGACTGCATCTGTTATCCTTCTCTTGGAGGACTGTGTATCCTTTTTGTAATTTCTTCTGATTTTTGTGTGTGTGTTTTGCCAGGGGAAAATCTTCTAGGACGATTACTTTTGATCAATTTAAGGACGCTCTTCAAGAACTCTCCAAGAAACGATTTAAAGACAAGAGCAATGAGGAAGCAGTTCAAGAAATACATAAACTAATCGAAGGAAAAGCCCCGATCATATCTGGAGTAACGGTACAGTAGTACTTGAGTAGTGACATACAATAAATTTCACTCTCCTTTCCAAAGCTGTTTCCTTTTAGGAGCCTAAACACTGACTCAGAGACTTTATTTAAGGTAAAAAAGGACCATCGTGATCATCTATCCCAGTGGTGGGCAACCTGCGGCCCGCTGGCCACACATGTCCCGTCAGGGTAATCCACTGGTGGGCTGCCAGACAGTTTGTTTACATTTGCATGGCTGTCCGCAGCTCCCAGTGGCTGCAGTTCGCCATTCCTGGCCAAGGGGAGCTGCGGGCGGCCGTGCAAATGTAAACAAACTGTCTGGTGGCCCGCCAGCAGATTACCCTGACGGGCCGCAGGTTGCCCACTACTGATCTAGCCTGACCACAGAATCTTTTATTGCAGGCCACAGAATCTTACCCACCCACTTCTCAAATAGACCCCCAACCTCTGGCTGATTTACTGGAGTCCTCAAATCCTAGTTTAAAGACTTCAAGTTACAGAGAATCTATCATTTACTTTAGTTTAAACCAGCAAGTGACCCATGCCCCATGCTGCAGATGAAGGTGAAAAAAAACCAGGGTCACTCTGACCTGGGAAATTCCTTCCCGACCCCAAATATGGGAATCAGTTAGATCCTGAGCATGTGGGCAAGACCCACCAGCCAGACACCTGGGAAAGAATTCTCTGAAGTAACTCAGAGCCCTCCCCATCTAGTGTCCCATCACTGGTCATTGTAGATATTTGCTGCTGAAATGTTTGTGCTGAAATAAATGGCAACAAAGCTCATGAAATATCTCAGTATCACATTATTACACAGGATACTACATAGTCCTGCTATGCTGCTCAGTACCACCCAATAAGAAAAGAGAGTCAAAATAATTAAGAGAGCTCTAGCATGTGATCTGAGCAGAGTAATATTCGTTATAAGTTGTGCTGCAAGAAAAATGGGAGTTAAAGACAAAACTTGTTAAACAACTTTAAAAGGTTTTGATTAAATTCACAAAACCAAAAGAAAGCAAGGACTTAAGTCTTAGAATAAACCTAGCGCACGATATGGGACATAGGAATGTTAAGGGCAGAATTCTCAGTTTTGTATGGTCTGTTCTTAATTCTATTTCCTCCCCCCCTCAAGACTGTGAGACCCATAACGTTGTTCAGTGTTTTTAATATTGGTAGAGATACTGTTAGATAGTTTAGTCCCAATAGATAGGTTTTATGTAACAAAATCAAGTTTTACAAAGCCTAGTGTTGCTAGATTTGTTTATTTTTAATGTCAAGTTTCGTTGCTTTCCTCCTCTCCACCCCATTTCCCTACTGTTGTCACCCAAACAATGTAACATCTGTCCCAGTTACATGGGCTCATTTATTTTCACTGTCAAAACTGAGTGAAATGCAAAATGAAATAGCATACATGATAAAAAGTAACATAGGACCAGTTTCTGGAAGAGTTTTAAAAACATGCCTAAATTTAAGTATCTGAGTACTCCCGCTGAAGCTAAGTCAATGGGACAATTCACTTGCTTAAAGTTAGGCATGTGTTCAACTATCTTACTGAAACTGAGCCTAGGTCTTTTAATTAAAACTTTAATTTTAAACAGTTTTTCCAAGGAGAGGTTCTGGGACAAATGCCAATACACAGTGAGAGTTTCTGGAGAAGAGAGACTGATTCAGAGAGAGCAATCTTCATAATCCTTGTAGTACTTACCAGGTTTTTACAGGATCTTTGAAATATGTGATAACTATAATGATGCTGCAGTTCTAAGGTTCAATTAATTAAGGGCCAAATCTTGTTTCCGTTTGAAATCAGTAGTAACTTTGCAATTGACTGAAATGGGATAAATGTTTCACCCTTTATCGTATTTGACATCTGCCAAAATTATGTTACATTTCAGCCTCGCTGGAGCGCTTAACCTTGTGAACTATATTAACTAACTCACTACTTACTTTGATTTGTACACATTCTATAAAGCTTACTCCAGGCCCCTTCTAATCTTTGGTGTTGTCAGTAATTAGGTGCTTAAATGAGCAATGGCTAACAATGCACACATACCTGCTTCCTACATGTGTTGAGGGGCATTGAGTGGTTTGCAGATGCACAGTGTAGCACTGTGTAAGTGCTTAGTATTCTCACTGAGATATGCCAACACAGTAGTGTTTTGGTCTTTTTTTAAACCATTTAATTTATTTTTCACTCTAAACCAATGAAGCTTCAAGAAACCAAGCTGTTTGGATGAGATGAACAGATGCCACCACTGGTTTTTTGGACATCTCTTTATGATTTTTTCTGTGGTAGGTAGGCAGAATGACTCTCCCCTGCACTGCTCCCTCTTGTATCAGCAAGCTATAGCATAGATAACATGAGGGGAAAGGGGGTAGGGGAGAGAATGGAATTTGGGGAGTGGGGTGGAAGAAAATCAAACCTGGGGAAATGAGGGCCGATTGGAATTAGTTTTTATTCCTTATGCAGGACTTCTAAATTGATACATTTAACAGCTATGATCTCATAAGTGAAACTCAGATGGGATCCTGTGGTTCTTAAAATATGCTGTGAGGTGCTCTCCATCATTGCTTTGGGGAGGGTTCTGATTGAGGTGGAACCCAGTTTTATTCTGTTCCCCTGAATGTTGGAGGAGGGGTTATAGCATACCTGTTGTTCTTGGTGACCACGAGGCATTAACAGATTCAACAACCTATAATATCGTGTAAACCGGAGTTGGAAGCTTTCCACAGTAGTCTGTCTACTAATCCAGTAACTCCAGATACTTTCCTCAATTATCAGGTTTCCAGAATAAAAGCTTATTCTGAGAGTTAGTAGCCAGAATGACATTTAATTGAGATACAAAGTTGTTTGCAATGGCACCCAGAAAGGATTTGATCCTACCAGCTCTTCATGCCAGTCTAGTTTAATGTTGAGATTTACCACCGTGCAGAGAAGAGCAATACATTTTAAGACGTTAGTGGAGAGGCCAGTGAAATGTTTTCCAAGGGTTATTTTTTTGTTTTCGTTTTCTGATGCTTTTGACTGTTCATGTTTTAACTGATTTTGTGTGTGCATATCAGGGCTGTGCATTAAGTTCTGCTGAAGACAGAATTAATCTGTATTTCTTGGGTGTGTATTTGATGGTCTTTTTAGGCTTCAGGGGGCCATTTTTGGGGCCCAAATAATATTTTAGGCATATCCCACTATTTCAGTTGCTGGATGATGTAAATATTATGAAGTGGGACTCAGATGTTGGTAGACTTCAGTGGAAGATCAAGGGCTTTTGATGGCTTACCTTGGGTTGAGTTTTGGCTGAGATTTTTTTATAGTGGAGCACATCTATTTTAAAGGACTGCCCATTCTTGCTTAGGGAGATCTCTGCTTCAGCAGTGAGATCTACTAGTCCTTACTTTTGAGATTGGAAGGTGCTGGGCACAGGAACTTTTGCTATAAGGGATTCATTTTTTTTTCTTCAGAATGTTTTTAGAATGACAAAATTATCTGTTGATTGATATGACTGGAAAGACAACAGTTGGCAGCCAGATACGAAGATGAGTGGAAATGTTGATCTGTATTCTAAAATGTGAGCTGCATCAGCATTCCTGCAAAACATTATCAAATGGTTATGCATTGCAAACAGATGTGTTGGAACATTGATTTTTGTAAAGGGGTTTTCCCTCATGTTGGCAGAAGCATGGAAACCGAAATTGCAACTGATGGCTCAGATGTTGGGGAGAGTGAAGATAACTGAGTGAAGGGAAGAGAGGTAATTCTTGGGAGTCCAGAGAATCCCATAAATTAATTCCATTCCAATTTTGGTGGTGAAAGAGGTAAGCGGTATTTTGGGAAAGTGCCTGTGACAAATCAAGATGACCCAGACTTTGTCATGGGTCTTTTGTGTCTCTCAGCACTTTATCTACCCATTCTACACCAAGCAGCTCTTGATATTTCAGAAAATGCCTTGGGCAGCTTAATTTGGCAATCCAGAATGGATTCTTTGTAGAAGGGCTAGAAGTTTAACTCTGCTCTGCAGGAAAATGCTGGATTCAATAACTTAATTAATCTTTTTTTAAAAGTGGAGCTCTGTTCAGCTTTGTGCCATTCCAAGTTGGGGTAATTACATGTGCAAATGGGTATTACCAGATATAGCCCGGATATATAGGTATGTGCATGCACACGCTTTTTTTGTGATTGAAAATATTCATTAGGGGATGGATCATAAAATGGTGTCTTGACAACAGAAGGTCAGTTGTATGTGAAGTATTGTCTTGAGAATAATTTAGTTAGGTTTTTTTATTTATACGGTGCCTCTAAGTGTGGCTAATTACCATACAATTCAAGCAGCTGGAAGGGTTGCTAAATTAAAGAGCAGAACTGTTTGCCTGCTCTTCAGCTAAAAACCATCATTATGAAGGAGAAGATAGGTGGCTGGCTAAGTGGGTTAAGTAGCATTGTATTTAAAGTAACCACAGAGTTAATTTAAATACAGTGCTACATTTTTGTTTTTTTTAGGCACAGGTGGGGACAAGCACATAACTTCGTCCCTCTCTTCAAATGTTATAAGATGTTATTTACATCAGAAACAAACACTGACCAAGAGGCCATATAGCAAGAAGTAAAACTCATTTAACTTAGCGGGATGGGGAGATCATTTGGGTGCTCCAGTTAAATAGCAATCCTTGAAGCTTTGAAGGAAAAGGGAAATTTAGATGCTTTGGTCTAAGGGTTGGCTTCTCTTCCAAGTTCTGTCACTGCTGTAACACCCAAGTATCCTCCTTTTCAGGCTGCTGGACAACTTAACCCTTTTTCAGAAGAGGGGTTTCCTGTCCACTTCTAGGAAGGGGGACCATTAGGGATCTGGGGCAGAAATCTGTCAAGGACAGTACTTGGTCCTGCTGTGAAAGCAGGGGACTGGACTCCATGACCGTTCAAGGTCCCTTCCAGTTCTATGAGATAGGTATATCTCCATATAATGATGAATGTATTGGGAAGGTGTGATCTACAGACCTGTAATCCTCTCACCAGTAATT